GGCGCCTGGGTGGCTCAGCTGGTTAAGCGACTGCCTTCGGCTTAGGTCATGATCCTGGAGTCCCGGGATTGAGCCCTGCATCGGGCTCCCCGCTCAGCGGGGAGTCTGCTTCTCCCTCTGACCCTCCTCCCTCTCATACTCTCTGTCTCTCATTCTCTCTCTCGCAAAAAAAAAAAAAAAAAAAAAAAAAAAAAAGGATGGAACTTTAAAAACAATTATATAGGAATGTCTGGGTGGCTCAGTCGGTTAAGTGTCTGCCTTCGGCCTGAGCCGTGATCCCAGGGTCCTGGGATCGAGTCCCATATTGGGCTCCTTGCTCAGTGGGGAGCCTGCTTCTCCCTCCGCCACTCCCCCTGCTTGTCCTCTCTCTCTGACAAATAAATAAAAATCTTTTTTAAAAATTAATAAGAACAATTATATATATTTTTTGACATTTAATACTGTTTGTTGAACGAATACATGAATGAATTGGTCTTTGACAAGATTTATGCTTGTTGCATGATCCTCTGATCCACACTTGTTAGCCTTGTCATGAGGAGCCCTTTGCACATATTTCCAATAACCTTAAAAATGGTTATTTTAGGGGCGCCTGGGTGGCTCAGTTGGTTAAGCGACTGCCTTCGGCTCAGGTCATGATCCTGGAGTCCCGGGATCGAGTCCCGCATCGGGCTCCCTGCTCGGCGGGGAGTCTGCTTCTCCCTCTGACCCTCTTCCCTCTCATGCTCTATCTCATTCTCTCTCTCAAAAAAAAAAAAAAAAAAAAAAAAAAAGGTTATTTTAGGGGCGCCTGGGTGGTTCAGTCGGTTCAGCGACCCACTCTTGGTTTCCATCCAGGTCATGATCTCGGGGTCCTGGGACGAGCCCCCCTTGGGCTCTGCCCCCAGCAGGGCGTCTGCTTGGGGATTCTCACCCTCTCCCTCTGCCCCTCCTCCCTCTCTCAAAAAAATAAACAAATAAACCTGTAAACAAATTAAAAATAAATACATAAATGGTCACTTTACCTTTCCGAAGAGCTGAAACTACGGCGAAAGTGGAAGAGCGGAGGCCTTCTGCAAGCTCACGTAGAGGAGTGTGGACCTCCGCGAGCTGCTGGTCCCGCCCACGAGCACCTGACGTACGTGACGCACGTGACGCACGTGACGCACCGGCCCCGCGCCCGGGGTCTGCGCGGGAAGTGGCGCTGGCGCCTGCGCAAGGCCAAGAGGGAGGCTGTCCTCTGGAGAGCCCGCACGTGGTTGCGACGCACCTGCGGGGTGTAATCACCCTGCCTGAGGTGGTGGGCAGCATGGTGGGTGTCTACGAGGGCAAGACCTTCTCCCCGTGGAAATCAAGTAGGAGATGACTGGCCACTACCTGGGCGAGTTCTCCATCACCTGCAAACCTATGAAACACAGCTGGCCTGCTATTCAGCCGCCCCATTCCTGCCACTTTGTCCCTCTCAAGGAGCCTATTCAGCAATAAAAGCCCAGCCTTCTCTTAAGAAAAAATTGAAATAATTTTGGATTGGAGAAAGTCGCAAAAGTGACAACAAGGTGTCAATGTAGATTCCCGAATTGTAGCAAATTCTGGTGGGGGGATGGAGATAACGGGGGGGGGGGGGAGGCTGGAGGGAGGCATATGGGAACTCTTTGTGCCTTTCGTCAATTTTTCTGTGAATCTAAAACTGCTCTAAAAAATGAAGTCTTATTTTATTTTATTTTTTTAGTTATTTATTAGAGAGAGCAAGCAGGGGGAACGGCAGAGAGGGAGGAAGAAGGAGAGGGAGAGAATCTCAAGCCAACTCCTTGCTGAGCACAGACTCTGATGAGGGGCTCAATGCAGGGCTCAGTCTCACAACCCTGAGATCATGACCCCAGCCGAAACCAAGAGTCAGATGTTCGACCAACTGAGCCACCCAGGGCCCCCCTCCACAAAGTCTATTTTTAAAAAGTAGTACATTGGGGCGCGTGGGTGGCTCAGTCATTGGGCGTCTGCCTTCCGCTCAGGTCATGATCCCAGGGTCCTGGGATCGAGCCCCACATCGGGCTCCCTGCTCCACAGGAACCCTGCTTCTCCCTCTCCCACTCCCCCTGCTTGTGTTCCCCCTCTCACTGTGTCTCTCTCTCTCAAATAAATAAATAAAATCTAAAAAAAAATAAATAAAAAAGTAGTACAAGGACACCTGACCATCTCAGTCAGTAGAACATGTGACTTGTGATTTTGGGGTCGTGAGTTCCAGTCCCACCTTGCATGTGGAGCCTACTTATTTTTTTTTAAAGATGACTCAGCCACCCAGGTGCCCCTGGAGCCTACTTAAAAAAAAAAAAAAAAAAGTAATACAGATGGTTCCTGCACACCCTTTACTCACCTTCTAATGTTAACATCTTGCCTAACCATAGTACAATGACCAAACTCCGTACAGTGGGCTGAATAATGACCCTTATTTCTGTTTTCTTATGCTGCCATCACAAAGTACCATAAATATAGTGGCTTGAACAACAGAATATATTCTCTCACAGGAAGGGGGTATGGTTTGGTGGGAGATGAAACGGGGGATTGTTTTCATTGTCTGTTGCTGCATGACAAATTACCCCAAACTTAGAGGCTTAAAACACACATTGATTATCTCACAATTTCCATAGGTCAGAAGTCCAGACAGAGTTTAGTTCGATTCTCCACTTTAGGGGCACCTGACTGGCTCAGTCAGTGAAGCATGCAACTCTTGATCTCAAGATTATGAGCTCGAGCCCCTCATTGGGTGTAGAGATTACTTAAAAAAAAAATCTTAAGTTAAAAAAAATAATAAAAGATTCTCCAATTCAGGGTCTCCCCAGGGTAGAATTCACGAGATGTCCAGGGCTGTGGTCTCATCAGAGACTCTACAGCGGGGAGAGCCACTTCCAAGCTTCCTTAGAGTGTTGGTGGAATCCATTCATTTTCTTTTGGCTGTATGACTGAGGGCTCCAGAGCTTCCCTGGATGTTGGCTGGTGGTGGGCCTCAAGTTCTAGAGGCCACCCACAGTTCTTTGGAAAGGAGGCTTTCTCTACATGGCTGCAGGCCAGCAAAGATAATCTCTCAACCCATGGAGAGATTAAGGGAGTGACATACCATTACCTTTGCCATATACTATTGATTGGAAGTAAGCCACAGGTCTGCCCACACTTAAAGGGATGACACAAAGGTGTGGACATCAAGAGGTGGGAGATCATTGGGGGTCACCTCAGGCTCTGTCCACCATAGGAATGGATTTAGAAATGGGATGAGGTTAGGGATATGGGGTTGAAGCTGAGGTCTTTGGAGTTTGCATTACTTTTCTACTGTTGCATATAAAGAAAACCCAAAACAGGGCGCCTGGGTGGCTCAGTTGGTTGAGCGACTGCCTTCAGCTCAGGTCATGGTCCCAGGGTCCTGGGATCGAGTCCTGCATCGGGCTCCCAGGGAGCCTGCTTCTCCCTCTCCCACTCCCCCTGCTTGTGTTCCCTCTCGCTGTGTCTCTCTCTGTCAAATAAATAAATAAAATCTTTAAAAAAAAGAAAAAGGAAAAAGAAAACCCAAAACATAACAGCTTAAAATAACAAATATTTATTATCTCACAGTTTTTGCAAGTCAGGAGTCTGGCTCAGGGTGTTATACGAGGTTACAGCCAAGAGGTCAACTGGGTTGCAGTCATCTGAAGGGTTGACTGGGGTGGGAGAATCTGCTTTAAAAATAGTTCCCTCACGTGTTCCTCACTGATGGTTGGCAGGAGGCCTCAGTGCTTCACCACGTGGGTCTCCCCACAAGCTGCTTGAGTGTTCCCACGACATGGCAGATGGCTTCCCACAGAGCAAGTGATTCAGAGAGAGCGAGAAGGAAGCCAGAATGTCTTTCATGTCACAATCACTTCTACCATATTCTTTTACTTGGGGGAAAAGAGTCACTAGTTTCAGTCCACACTCAAGGGAAGAAGGATGAAGGTCCACCTTGTGGAGGGAAGAGGGTCAAAGTACTTGTGGAAAAAAATTTTTTTAATTACGTAAACTCGATCTCCAGCACAGGGCTTGAAATCATGCCCCCAAGATCAAGAGTTGCACACTCTCCTGACTGAGCCAGCCAGGTGCCCCACTTGTGGACATTTTTCAAAACCACTAGAGTTAGTGGGTTGGGTGTGAAGGTTGGGCTCATGGCAGTTAAGGTGTTCAGGATTTTAATGTGTTGTGGGGCTTGGGTTATTATGCTTGACAGAAACAACGGGGCTTGGTATCATGGAGTATGGGAATCATGGCAGTGGTGGATTGGATCATTGGGGTTTCGGTGTGGTTAGATGGGATTGGTGTTGATATGACTGCAGTTGAACTGGTGGGGGTTGTAAGTGTAGTCGGGGTAGAGTGGGGGTGCGATCAAGGAGTGTGGTGTTTAAAGTCATAACTATGGGTCAAATTTAAGTTTGGGTTATGGTGGGGATGGGATGGGAGTTTTGGTGGGGTGATGGAGTTTGGGGTTGGACATTTTTGTGTTGGTCGTACGCTCCGAATGGTGGTTGAGTCATTAGGTGTAGTGGGGTGTGGCATTTTGGAGGCATTCGTTGTTGGAATCGACAGTGGTGAGGGGCGAACATTAGGTAGTGCATTTCCTGGTTATGGGAGCTGAACCCATCATCTAGGTGGGGGTTGAAATGGCTGGGGTTTGGGTTGAGGAATAAGAATCTTGAGGGGTTCATTTGAGGGGTGTCAACTAGGGTGGGTGGAATGGTGTCGATCTTTATGTTTGGGGTGGGCAGTGACATTGGGACCACAGGAACTGGACTAATGAGAGTTTTGGGGGTTGTTTGACTGGTGTGGGCCTTGGATGGTTAGGTTTGGTGTGACTGGAGCTGGGAATGCAACAGAATGAGCAGGGTTGGGGGTTGTAGCTGAAACTGATTGTAACTGAGAATTCATGGTTGGGCCTGGGGATGGAGGGGAACTTTTCTCCTCCTCCACCCTGACCCTCACCTCTCCCACCCCTGCCCAGCCCAACAGCACAGTGAACACCACACACCCAGCTTATGCATCTTTATTGGACCAGATGTGGGATTTTCCAAACCCAAACAGGCCACCTCTGTCCTGCACCAGCCCAGTTGTAGAGACCCTCTCCCTAGTTCTTGGGGAGACCAGCTCCCTGCAGGGAGGGGTCAAAAGTTGGTAGATTTCGTGGGTGCCCTGGAGCCCCTCCTGTGGCAGGGGAGAGAGCCACCCCTGTGCCCCGAGTCCTCCTCCTGTAACCCTCTGCACCTGGGCTTAGGACGCTGCCCGTCCTGGAAGAGGGAGGCCACATCCAACAGTGCATCCTCAATGTGCTGCCCCAGTCGGTGGGAGTCCTAGAAGGAGAAATACATCATGTCCAGGAGAAGCTGGGAGAGGGTCTCCTCGGTGCTGGAAAACAGGAAGGCTGGTATCCCCGATGTCCTGGTCTGAGGGAGGAGGGGGCTGGGGACTAGGATTCCTGGATCGTGGGGGCAGCAGGGAGCTGGGATTCTAGACTCCTTGGTTGTAGGAGAGGAGGGAGCTAGGAGTCCAGATCCCTGGGTCCTGAGGGAGGAGGGTGCAGGGGTGTGTGTTCAACTCTGTCTCACCGTTTTTGTGCTAGACTTTTTGCTGGAGATGTGGAAGGTGATGGTGTCATCCCCCATGAAGATGTACGAAACGCCATAACCATGGTCATCGGCCTGGAGAGGGACGGAGGGAGGGGAACCAAATAGCCTCCGGTCTCCTACCCCCCGCCCCCCACTAGGCCGGAGTGCAGACCCCCAACACCCTCCTCCCTCAGGGCCCAGGGTCCAGGGAGGTGGGATCAGGCCCAGTTCCACTCACAGGCCCGAATCCACCACCAGAGGAAACATAGTCAGGGTAATTGTGGACGTCAAACAGGTGGATTTGCTGAACAGGGATCTGGCTGGTGGCCAGAGGCCACTGCTCCGAGTGAACCTGAGGGACAGGAGATGGTCAAGTATGCAGTAAAGACGAACAGACACACCCGTCCGCGCCCTTGGCTCAGTTCCAAGCAACCTCGGCCCTTTCTGACCTCCCCTGACTGCCTATTTCCTCTAAATCGCCCAGTTTCTCTGGTTTCTCTGTCCTTCCCCCCCCCCCCCCACCCGCCCCTCGGCTCTCCTCCTTTTCCGACCACACCTCTCCGCTTCTGCCTGATCCGGCCCTTCTCTCGGGTCTTCCTGACCACGCCTCCTTTCACCGCCCTCCTGGCCACGCCTCCTCTTCTTCCTGACCCCGCCCCTCTCCCTTCTTTCCCCCTTTTCCCTCTCCACCCCCCCACCAACTCTCTCCTCTAATACCTCCCTTTTCCTTTTTTTTTTTTTTTTTTAAGATTTTATTTATTTATTTGACAGAGAGAGACAGTGAGAGAGGGAACACAAGCAGGGGGACTGGGAGAGGTTGAAGCAGGCTTCCCGCCAAGCAGGGAGCCCCATGCGGGGCTCAATCCCAGGATCCTGGGATCATGACCTGAGCGAAAGCAGACGCTTAACGACTGAGCCACTCAGGCGCCCCTAATACCTCCCTTTTCCAACCTCACCCTCCTTATCCTGAAGTACCCGTCTCCTCCCGTGGTTCCCCTTTTCCCTCTCTAACCCTTTCCCTGCACCCCAACCTGGTCCAGAAAGGGCGACCGCAAGTGGAGAAACTGGGACACGATGTAGAGCGCAAAGAGGTGGCGGTCGACTCCCTGTCCGCTCATCGCTGCCTTCAGCAGAGCCTGGTGCTTTTCCACCGCCAGGCGGAACAGAGCACGGCGCTGGGGTTCCTGGGGTCCCCCGGGGAGGTCACAGGTCATGGAAAGACAGGAAGTGGGCTTACTGTTGGGGCTTGTCACACACCCCCGGCCTCAAAGGAGCTTGCAAAATCCCTGCAAGGCAGAGATATCAATTCTATTTTACAGAGGGGAAACAGGCTTAGAGAGGGGGAGTCACTTGCCCAGGCTCACACAGCAAAGCAGAATCAGGTGGGTTCCCAGGTCTGTCTGATATAGGGCCCCAACTCCTTCCATTGACCCAAAATAAGTAGGGCGTGGGGGAACAGAGGTACCCGTGGGGTTCTGAGTAGAGAGGTTATATAGGGACTACATGGAAGGGTACAAATGGAAGTCACAAGGTCGCACAGAAGTTAAATCAAAGAGAGCTACATTGTGGAATCAAGGATCCCTGTTGGGTACCCCCCAGTGCCCTCTGTGACCCCCATTAAAGCATGTATCGCACTATGCTGAAATAGCTCTGTCTCGCCCCACCAGTGAGTTCCTTGAGGTCAGAGACCAGGTCTGGTTCCTCCTTTGTCCATAATGCCCATCATGGGGCCTGGTCCTCAGAAGGCACTCCAAAAATATTTGCAAATGTAGGAACGAGTAAATGGAAATGACCAAAGCCTCAAACGAGGCCCACACCCACTGTTTTCTCTTTGTCCTCCATGGCTCTCACAAAGTTGCAGGCCTCCCTCGTGCAAGACCGCACCGTCTCTGTCCGGCCTTCCAGGAACAAGCGAGTCATGGTCGACTCATAAGTCAGGCAGAATTCACCCCTGTCCTGGGGGACAAGGAAGAGAGGAGCCTGTCAGCTGGTCTCTGGAAATCTTCACAGACTTGACCCGCTTCTGTGTAGACCTCCCTCATCCTCCTGCTTGGGGAATGTGTGGTTGGGAGAGAGAAATCAAGATGGCGGACCCACAAGGGCAATGACCAGGAAGAGTCACTAAAGGGACTGACAAGGCAGGCCCAGGGGAACCAAAGTCCTGGCAAGGGGCTGAGGTCGAGGGCCCCAACTGACCCGGAAGTGGGCTAGCTGCAAGGCCACCTGGATGAAGCTGTCTGAAGAGAGATGGCAGCGTTTGATGAAGCTCTTGCCAAAGTGGGAGAAAGGGAAGACGTGGCAGTCGATGTTTCCAGACAAGGTCTTGGCTCCCCTCAGGGCTAGAGAGATGGACAGACGGATCTGCCAGAGGAGGAGGGAGGGAGGGATGGCTGGGGTTACGGATGGGGTAGAGCTGGGAGTGGGGCTGGAAGTGGAGGTGGGAGCCGAGTCAGGGTGGGGGTGGAGTGCAGAAATGAACAAACATGTCCCTGAAGGGCTGGATTAAGGATGGAGGTCAGGTGGGACTGGGGTTGGGGATGGATGGGGTTGGGGTTAAGTTTGGGGGTGGGGATGAGTTTCGAGTCACAGCCAGGGAGATTTGGGTACTTGGAGGAGAGGCCCCGAAGCCCCGTCTCACCTTTTCTGGAAGGTCCCAGTGCAGCCGCTGGGGCTGGGGCAGTGAGGGCTCAGGATGCCCCTTGCAGTGGCCGTCTGCCGAGTAGCCCAGCTGAAAACATTCTGTGGCCAGAGTGAACTGTGTACAAACAGAGGCTGTCAGAGCCCCTTCCTCCCTCTGGGCTGAGAGCCATCTAACCAGGGACTTCTTTTCATAAGTCCCTCCTGGGGCCTGGTGGTGGGGGAAGTGGGAGCAGTCCCTCTCCCACTCCCCCTGCTTGTGTTCCCTCTCTCGCTATGTCTCTCTGTCAAATAAATAAATAAAATCTTAAAAAAAAAAGATTTTATTTATTTGAGAGAGAGAGAGAGAGCACGAGCAGGGGCAGAGGGAGAAGCAGACTCCCCGCTGAGCAGGGAGCCTGATGCAGGGCTCGATTCCAGGACCCCGAGATCATGACATGAACAGAAGGCAGATGCTTAACTGACTGAGCCACCCAGGCGCCCCTTGTTAAACAGTGTAAATCAGCGTTGATGGAGGACCTACCGCCCGCCAGCCTTCCACTTAATTCTCACGGTAACTTAGGAAGAAGGGATTCACATCCCCATTGCAATGTTAGAAACATATCGGGAGAAGAACACCTCACTTGGGGCCTTGGAGTTTCCATTGATCTATACCTTATTCTATGTGACATCTCTTCATTCAAAGCCAATGTGCAGAGACCTCATGTTGACAATAAGGGTCTGAGGGGTCTGAGGTTCAACTGAATTGACAGATTCATTCACCAGTATCATCAAAGGGGGACAATTCTCATTTGTGAAACAGGTACAGAAGAAGCCCCTTACCCGGGGCTGCTCCTAAGATCTGAAAGGGGCCTCCCTTCCCCTCATACACACCAGATCCCACCCTGGGCCCCATCCAACACCTCGTGTAACGCTACAGAAGAGTGGGAACCTGGTGGGTATAAGCACCACCCTCCATGATTTAGGGACTAAATAAAATAGAGAAAATGGAGATGCGATGGTTCCCAGGATTGGATGGGAGCTTCCAGATCAAAGAAAATCCAACCCTTTCATCTGATGAAGGAAGAAACGAGGCTCAGAGGAGGGGAGTCACTTGCCCGAGGTCACACAGCATTCTTAAATCACATTCTTGCTCTACAACTCCTGGCTCAGTGATTCTGGGCAAATCACTTCCCTTCTCTGAGCCCCAACTGCCCATCCATCAAAAGAAGGTCATAGGGGCGCCTGGGTGGCTCAGTCGTTAAGCATCTGCCTTCGGCTCAGGTCATGATCCCAGGGTCCTGGGATCGAGCCCCACATCAGGCTCCCTGCTCTGCGGGAAGCCTGCTTCTCCTTCTCCCACTCCCCCTGCTTCTGTTCCTCTCTCGCTGTGTCTCTCTCTGTCAAATAAATAAATAAAATCTTTAAAAAAAAAAAAAAGGTCATAATCCCAGACCCCCTTTTCTTTGCTGGGCGACTCCAGTCTGGTCTTTGCCTGTCTGAGCCTCTGTCTTCCCTCTGACTGTAAGGCCCTGGAGAAGAAGATCTTTGGAAATGGGGCCGATGGTCCCCAGGGCGGGGGTGGGCTGGCCATCCTACCTCCCACATGTGTCCTGAGATGGGGCAGTCGGCCCACGAGTGCTCCACGCTGAGGCCCAGCTTCCCATTGGAGAAGACAATTAGAGTGAAGGATTTGTCAAACCAGCTGCAGGGGGAGAATTCAAAGTGGTCACCAAGGGGCCAAGAGTGAACTCAGGTGCTCTCTGTGGGACATAGGAGTGTCAGGGTGGATGGATTTTTCTGGAACCAGGGTTGGCTCTCTAAGAGGCTGGGGGTCTCCACCAGGCGGTCTAGATGGTTTCTGAGGCATGTCTAGGGCTTGGGAAATTGGAAGATTTTGAGGGAACATACCAAGAAAAGGTCAAGGTTCCCAAGGAGCTGAGAGGTTAGGGGGACTCTTCTGGGAACCTCAGAAATCAGAGTGATGCCTGGGGTGCATCTAGGAAGTTGTCTGAGGATCTCTAGGTAGGAAGTCCCAGGTCTGGGGTCCTGCGTTTGGGGTGCCTGCATGAAAATCTAAGGATTCTATGGTTCTGAGCCTGAGGTCCCCAGGCTTGGGGCTCTGGCTTTGGGGGTCTCTAGGTTTGAAGGTCCAGGTTTGGGGTTTGGTGGTCCTCAGATCTGGGGTCCAGGGTCTGCTTGTCTAGTGTCCAGAGTCCTAGGTCTGGATACTGGGTTCTGGGGTCACCGGTTGCGGTGAGGTTCAAGTCCAGGGGCTGACTCACCGGTCATGGCCCCTGCCAGCAAGCAGAGCACGGGCATAGGCATCCAGTGAAGCTGCAGGGTCCTCCCTGGTGAGCCCTGCAGGCTCCGAGTCCAGTGATACAAAGAAGGCAGCTCCTTCCACAGCCTCCAAGGCATCCTCGGCCTGGATCTTCAGGGAACTCCGCACCTGGGCCCACACATCCCTGGGGGGGGGCGGGGGGGTGCTGGGACACGTGCCTGAGCCCACATACCCTGCCCAGCCTCTGCCTGGCCCTCCAGCTTGCCTTTCCCCAACCTCCAGAGGCTGGCTGGGCCGTCGGGTCCCCTGACCTCTTACTCTTACCTGGGTGCGGCTGTCAGGGCAGCCAGATGCTCCTCCTGGGGGCAGGCAGGGGAGGGGTCGTCCAGGATTCGCTGGAACTGCTGTTCCAGGGCCCGCGGGGAGAGCAGGCCGCTTTGGGAGTGGGTCCCCACACGGAAGAATCGGCCTCGGTGGAAGACGGCCACGTGTCGGCTGTCCCGGAGGTGGCGGATATGGTCTAGGGGTGGGGTGGGCAGAAGGGCGGAGGGCAGGAAGGTCAGATACACTGCAAGAATAAGCACCATTTAGGGCGCCTGGGTGGCTCAGTCGGTTCAGTGTCTGACTCTTGGTTTCGGCTCAGGTCATGATCTCAGGGTCCTGGGGTCCAGCTGCTCTAGGCTCCACATTCAGCAGGGAGTCGGCTTGGGATTCTTTCCCCCTCCCTCCCCCCTCCTCCTCTGCTCCTCCCCCTGCTAGCAGCGCACACGCTCTCTCTCTAAAATAAATTTTTTTTAGGGGCGCCTGGGTGGCTCAGATGGTTAAGCGTCTGCCTTCGGCTCAGGTCATGTCCTGGGATCGAGCCCCGCTTCGGGCTCCTGGCTCAGCGGAGAGCCTGCTTCTCCCTCTCCCTCTGCCTCTCTCCCTGCTCATGCTCTCACTCTCGCTCGCTCTCTCTCTCTGTATCTCTGTGTCTCAAATGAATAAATAAAATCTTTAAAAAAATAAATAAATTTTTTTAAAAAGATTATTTATTTATTTATTTGACAGAGAGAGAGACAGCGAGAGAGGGAACACAAGCAGGGGGAGTGGGAGAGGGAGAAGCAGGCTTCCCGCGGAGCAGGGAGCCCGATGCGGGGCTCGATCCCAGGACATGACCTGAGCCGAAGGCAGATGCTTAACAACTGAGCCTCTCAGGTGCCCCTCTCTAAAATGAATTTTAAAAATAAGAACCATTTAGGGCGCCTGGGTGGCTCAGTCGTTAAGCGTCTGCCTTCGGCTCAGGTCATGATCCCGGGGTCCCGGGATCGAGTCCCACATCAGGCTCCCTGCTCGGCGGGAGGCCTGCTTCTCCCTCTCCCACTCCCCCTGCTTGTGTTCCTGCTCTCGCTGTGACTCTTTCTGTCAAATAAATAAAATCTTTAAAAAAAAAAAAAAAAAGAACCATTTATTAGGCATGTCCTGTATGGCTTGCACTGGTTTTTGTTTTGTTTTGTTTTTTAGATTTTATTTATTTGACAGAGCAAGAGAGCACAAGCAGGGGGAACAGTAGAGGGAGAGGGAGAAGCAGGCCCCCCACGTGGTGCTCGATCCCAGGACCCTGGGATCATGACCAGAGCCGAAGGCAGACACTTAACCATCTGAGCCACCCAGGCGCCCCGGCTTGCATGTTCTAACCACTCATTTAATCCTCCCCACCCTATGTACCACTATTATCCCGTTTCAGAGATGAGAAAACTAAGGCTCAGAGAGGGTAGTAACCGACCCAAGGTCACACAGCTAGGGAGCGATGCGATGGCGCTGGGATTCGAGCCCAGGAGAACATGCTCTCAACCACTACACTGTGACGCCTCTGTCAGTGAGGATGCAAGAGGAATCTCACCTTTTGGGATGCCGGGAATGCGCGTGGTATTGAATATCTTCTCATACTGGGCAGAGCACAAGGGCCGCATTCCCATCAGCAGAGTCTGCAAGAGACCACGGGCTCCAGAGGACGCTGCCTCCCAGGACCCACTTGGCCACACGGCCACAGGACCACAGTCTCCGTCCCCAGCCCATGGGTGGGGGGTGGGGGAGAGGGGCTCTGTCCCCAGCCCATGGGTTGGGGTGGGGGGGCTCTTACAGGCAGGATCTCCTGGCGGTTCAGACGGTGGCGGTACAGGAGGAGGGCATGGACTGCGTTCCCAGCACGAGCCGCCTGCACTGGTGTGGGAGTGACGTACAGGAAGTCCTGGGGGCCGGCCGAGGGGACGGCAAAACGCCTGGGGTCAGGTTTGGCCCCCTGATCGGGGGCCCGGATCCCAAACCCAGAACCTGACCCCAACAGGCAGTGAGATGGTGAATTAGACTCTGATTGTGGTCACTGACCCTAAACCCCGCTTTCTACAGAGACATCCCAACCCTAGCCCTGGGGAGCTATGAACACAGCCCCTCCCCAGCTCTCCCCCCTCACCATCATGTAATAGTTGCTGTTCACCATCAGCGAGTGCCGGGAGCGCAGGTACACAAATTCTTCCCACCAGTCACTGACCTAGGAGTGGGGCAGAGAGATGTGAGGCTGGGGCAGCTGCTGCCAAGGTGGCGGGGGGGGGGCAATGGGAGTGGCAAGACCCCCAAGACTTTGCTGTGTCAAACGGGGAGGGTGGAGCTCAGTGAAGGAGGCCATCGTGATCAGTAACTAGCAGTAACCTAGAAGTCCATCAGGTGGGGATCAGTTAGCTAAACCGTGCTACACTCATGTTCTGGAATACTACCAAGCTCTTAAAAAAGAATAAGGCACAGGGGTGCCTGGGTGGCTCAGTCTTTAAGTGTCTGCCTTCGGCTCAGGTCATGATCCCAGGGTCCTGGGATCGAGCCCCGCATCGGGCTCCCTGCTCTGCGGGGAAGCCTGCTTCTCCCTCTCCCACTCCTCCTGCTTGTGTTCCCTCTCTCGCTGAGTCTCTCTCTGTCAAATAAATTTAAAAAAAGAAAAAGAAAAAAAGAATAAGGCGCATCTATATTACTGCCACAGAATAAGCAAGCACCGAGACACACTGCCAACTGAAAAAAGCTAGGCACACAACAATATATGTGAAATGATCTCATATGAGATTTAAAAAAATACCACTGAGACCCAAGTGTCCATCAACAGATGAATGGACAACCAAAGTGTGGTCTATCCATACAATAGAATTTTTTTTTTAAAGATTTTATTTATTCATTTGACAGAGATAGACACAGCGAGAGAGGGAACACAAGCAGGGGGAGTGGAAGAGGGAGAAGCAGGCTTCCCACAGAGCGAGGAGCCCGATGTGGGGCTCGATCCTAGGACCCTGGGATCATGACCTAAGCCGAAGGCAGACGCTTAACGACTGAGCCACCCAGGTGCCCGTTTTTTTTTTTTTTTAAGATTTTATTTGTTATTATTATTTTTTTTAACATTTTATTTAATGAGAGAGAGTGAGTGAGAGAGAGCACAGGCAGAGGTAGAAGCGGACTCTCTGCTGAGCAGGGAGCCTGATGCGGGGATCAATCCCAGGACCCCGGGATCATGGCCTAAGCCGAAGGCACACGCTTAACTGACTGAGCCACCCAGGTGTCCCAAGATTTTATTTTTATTTATTTATTTATTTATTTATTTATTATTTTAAAGATTTTATTTATTTATTTGACAGAGAGATGCAGCAAGAGAGGGAACACAAGTGGGGGAGTGGGAGAGGGAGAAGCAGGCTTCCCGCCAAGCAGGGAGCCCGATGTGGGGCTCGATCCCAGGACCCCAGGATCATGACCTGAGCCAAAGGCAGATGCTTAACGACTGAGCCACCCAGGCATCCCCCCAAGATTTTATTTTTAAGTCATCTCTACACCCAACAGGGGGCCTGAACTCACAACCCTGAGATCAAGAGTCATATGCTCCACTGACTGAGCCAGCTGGGAGCCCCTGCAATGGAATGTTAATATAAAAAGGAATGAAAATGGGGCGCCTGGGTGGCTCAGTCGGTTAAGCGTCTGCCTTTGGCTCAGGCCATGATCTCAGGGTCCTGGGATCGAGCTCCCTGCTCAATGGAGAGTCTGCTGGGGCGCCTGGGTGGCTCAGTCGTTAAGCGTCTGCCTTTGGCTCAGGTCATGACCCCAGGGTCCTGGGATCGAGCCCCGCATCGGGCTCCCTGCTCAGCGGGGGGCCTGCTTCTCCCTCTCCCACTCCCCCTGCTTGTGTTCCCTCTCTCGCTCTGTCTCTCTCTGTCAAATAAATAAATAAATAAAATCTTTAAAAAAAAATAGTGAGTCTGCTTCTCCCTCTCCCTCTGACCCTCCCACCCACTTGTACTCTCTCTCTCAAATAAATAAAAATCTTAAATGAAAATAAATAAAAGGAACGAAAATCTGATGTGCACTATAACACGGCTGCACCCTGAAAGCATCATACCTGGTGAAATGAATCCGGCACAAAAGGACAAATCGTGCATGATTCTACTTATACGAAAAATCTAAAATCGGTCAATTGCTAGAGGTAGTAAGTAGACTAGAGGTTACCTGGTACTTTGGGGAAGTGGGAATGGGGATGTGTTCCCTCATTGGTACAGAGTTTCTGTTTGGGATGAAAAGTTCTAGAAACAGATTGTCGTGACGGTTCCACGACATTGCAGATGTACTTAATACCACCGAATTGCATACTTAAAAATGGTTAAAATGGTAAATTTTATATTATGTCCATTTTGCCACAATAAAAATTATGTGTATCTATATGTTACATATATTTTACATGGTATATTAAATATATTTCTATAAGTTATAAAATATCCATTCATACTATATATTATACAATTTAAAATTACATAAAACATATAAAGATTATATAACAAATTAAAAATATAGATTAAAAAGTCTGTGATAAGACAGCAGTGTCAGACTTTAGTTGGCCTTCGTTTTTGTTTTTTTTTCCTTTGTTGTACTTAAGATAATGGGGTACAGCCTTACAGGTACAATGAAATAAATACATTGTGTGTGTGTGTGTGTGTGTGTGTGTGTGTCCGAGCATGCATGAGCATATGTTTTGGCACAGAATCTGGCCCAACAGCTTGAAGGAAAAAAAAATGTAAAAATTAAGGCCTGGCTCCCCTCCTACCCCTCCAAACACAACTCAGTCCCCTCCACGGAGCTTGTCTGACTGACCTTTCCATGTTGCTGCCCCTTGGGGCTCTCTGTCCCAGATCCTCTTCCCTTCCAAGTCCAATGTTTCTGCAGCTGAAGGTCCCGTTTGCTGTCACCCAGGCCTCTTTCCTGAGCCCTCACTCAGGGAGCCGGCTGCCCCAGGGCATCTCCTCTGCACCCCCCCAGGAACCCCCATGGAGCTCAGTGCCTTCACCCCAAAGCTGCTCCCCTTCTCCCCATCTCAGAGAGAGCCCTGCAGTCCCTCCCACACCAGGTGAGGCTCGTGGGTGCCATCCTCACCATCTCCCCACCCCCAGCTTGGCAGTCCCAGCCCCACCCTCCTGCCTTGATCCTGCCTCATCCCCCTGTCAGGCCTCCTCCTCTCCCCCACGTCCTCACCCTAATATCCTCTCCAGCCTCCCAGCCTCCGGTGTCTCCCCTCCAGTCTTTCCCCGACGGCAGAGCTGATCCTGACCCTCCCCTGTTCAGAATCCTCCCATGGCTCCTTGGCACCCCCTAGAAAAAGTCCAAGGTCCTCAGCTGGAGTTAAGGCCTCTCCCCACCACTCCACCATCACCTCCCAGAGGATCACCCTTCAATCCTTTGTTCCAGCCAGAGGAAAGCCCTCCTTGTTCCCAAAACATGCCCTACAACCTCCTTATTTCCTCACCTCTGCTCAGCCTTCTCCCTCCTACCAACCTGACAGGTTCAAGTTCTGTCCAACCCTCAGGGCTCAGCCCTAAGAAATTCTCCTCCTGGAAACCTAATCCTCTCATCCAGTCAGACCGTCCCACCCCCCCAGACACTCACACCACCCTATGTGTCTTTATTGCTACCTGCACCTCATCTCATCCCACGCTGCCCGCCAGCTATTTATAACTTCCTACATAATAAAAGGCCTGTAAGCCCTGATTTGGGTGAACTGCCGTCTTGTTCTGTGCCTCAGTTTCCCAAGAAACTGAGTCAGAGTACTACCAAAGGCCTAGCTCCTCAACTCAGAAGCCCATTTGGGGGGAGGTGCCCTCGCGCAGAAGGAGGGGGTAAAACAAGAACAACTCTGGGGGCGGAGGCTCAAAATGTTTTTTGCCTCCCGCCAGGGGTGGGCTGAAATGTTGGATAAGTCCTGGAATTGCGGTTGCAATCCTGGGGGGCTGGGGGCGGGGCTGTGGATGTGGGCAGGCCCTGGAGGCGGGGCTTAGAGTATTGAAGTCAGGCTCAGAATGTCGGAGCATGGGGTGGGGAGGCTCAATATGTAGGCACATGACGATGGGGCTCAGAATATTGGAGAGTAGGAGCAGCAAGTCGGAGCATCTGGGGCTGGGTTTAAACCAGGGGAGCGTGGGGGCGGGGCTCAGAATATAGAGCATGGGGCGGGGCTCAAAAATCGCGCGCCGCAGGGCCAGGGGGCGGGGCGGGGGCGCGGGGCGGGGCGCGGGGGCGGGGCGCGGGGGCGGGGCGCGGGCGGGGCCTAGACCCACAGGTTAGGAAGGAGCCTCAGAACCTTGCGGATCCGGGTGTGGGACTCACGTAATTGGACGCCAACCAGGACTTGAGCTGCAGGTACCACTGCAGCAGCGACGCCTGCAGCCTCAGGAATTCCTGCGCGAGGACTGACGTCCAGTCGAAGTCCTCGTCGGAGAGGATGGGCCGGACAGATTCCAGGTACTGAGGGGCAAGGAGAAGAGGGTAGGTCACGCCCCCGGCCGCCGCCCCCCGCCCCCGGTGGAGGTCCCAGGCAGGCCCACCTTGCGCACGGTGTCCTGCACGGAGGGCACGGGCTGGCGTGGCAGGGAGCGCTGGTAACTGAAGAGCATCGTTTTGCGGCCGGAGAAGATGCGGACCAGGGCCTGGAGGGAAGCGGGAATTAGTGGGTCGTTACACCCCTCACTGGGGTGGCGGACCAGGGTCGGGGGTGATGTGGCAACCTACAGAGAGAATGGGGTAGAGACCCAGAGGAAGTGGGGACAGAACCCCAGGAGGAGGAATAGAGACCAGAGAGAGGTGGACAGGGTCCCAGAAAGGTGGGGGCAGAGACCAGAGACAAGGAGACAGAGAAGTGGGTCCCCGGAGGGCCTGAGCAGGGAGGGCTCTGCCCCTCACATACCAGCCAGGTCTTGGTGGGGGAGGACATGGCTCCGTGGGGTTCAAGGAGCCAGCCATGGTAGGACAGAAGCAGCCTCAGGGCCACGTGAAGCGTGAAGATCAGGGCCCCCCACAGACACGACGCAAACAGCGCTGCCGCCAGGACTCCCCGAAGCCTGTGGTGCTGTCCACCCCTGGGAGTGAACGAGAAAACGGGCCTGGGTCTCCCGGCCGCAGAACGCCCCTCCCCTCCGGCCCCACCCAGCCCCTGCTCTTCCGATTGTTCTCTGACCCTGGTCTTTTGATTGGGGGCATATCTTCTAGAATGGGAGTCATGGAAATCCCATTTCCTCGTTTGTAAAGTAGGCATGGATCCTCTCTCTATGCCACCCCTCCTCCCCCGGGTTCGTGAGGACACCAAAGCTCCTAAAATCACCTCCCATGGAAATTGATAGGTACTTAATAAGTGGGAGCTGGGGGGCGCCTGGGTGGCTCAGTTGGTTAGGCGACTGCCTTCGGCTCAGGCCATGATCCTGGAGTCCCAGGATCGAGTCCCGCATCAGGCTCCCTGCTCGGCGGGGAGTCTGCTTCTCCCTCTGACCCTCCTCCCTCTCATGCTCTCTGTCTCTCATTCTCTCTGTCTCAAATAAATAAATAAAATCTTTAAAAAAAAAAAAAGTGGGAGCTGGGTTTTTTGTTTTTGTTTTTTTAAGGGACACACACTTGGGGCACCTGGGTGGTTCAGTTGGTTAAGCGTCTGCCTTCAGTTCAGGTCATGATCCCAGGGTCCTGGGATCAAGTCCCATGTCGGGCTCCCTGCTCAGTGGGGAGTCTGCTCCTCCCTCTCCCTCTGCTCCTTCTCCCCTCACATGCTCTCTCTCTCTCAAATAAATAAATAAAATCTTTAAAAAAAGAAGAAGAAGAAGGGACACACTTCTCTCTCCCAGCAATCAAATTATACTCTAAAGCAGTGGTTCTCAAAGTGTGGCCCTTGGCCCAGCAGCATCCGAAGGGCCTGGAAGCTGGTTGGAAATGCAAATTCCCAGGCCCCACCCAGAGCTACTAAAACAGAATCTCTTGGGGTGGGGCCCCGCCATCAGTGTTTTAACAAGCCTCCCAGGTGGTTCCAATACACACTCAGGTTTAAGAAAACGTTGATCCGCTGATCGAAAACTACCGTAGATCAACATGTTTGCAAAGTGGCAATCAGGTGTGTGAGCAAGGCCCACCTGGAGGACTTGGGGGGAGTTACTTCCCCTCGCTACACTGGATAAATCTAGCCTTCCTGGAAATTCCTACCTCTGATGCTGGGTCTGTCCTTTGGGACTATCTGTACAAAACCTGAACCTTCTTCCCCAGGAGGACTAAGCCGAGAATTAGAACCATTAGAACCTGTCACTTCACCTGCACCTGGCTTCCAAAACTTTCTCCAAAATGACAATTATAATAATACAACCACTCTCATTTAGTAACCTCCTGGCCCTGTATTGAATGGATCACATGCATGCTTTTTTAAAAAGGATTTTATTTATTTATTTACTTAAGTAGGCTCCATGCTCAACGTGGGGCTCGCACTCATGACCCTGAGATCAAGCGTCGCATGCTCCACCTACTGAGCCAGCTGGGTGCCCTTCCATGTGCATGCTTTTGTTTCATTCTCCCAACCACCCTGGGAAGCAATTATTATTACCTACATTTTATAAATGAAGACTGACAAGAGAATGGTGAAGTCTCTTGCCTAAGACTACACAACTGGGGCCCAGCAGAGCTCCTACTTTTGTCAGTGCGTATGTAACCATATCTGGACATTTTCTAGCTTGTCAGTGTCCCTCTTAGCAAGAAAGGGAGGAAATCACCTCCATTTTACTCGTGCTGTACCTTTATTAATCTGACCCAAAGTGAATCCCAGAGGTTACTTTTCTTTTTTATTTATTTGTTTATTTATTTATTTTGAGGTTACTTTTCTTTAGCAGGCATGCCACACTGATAGAGAAACTCACTGGGTGGAGGAAGAGGCATTAGGGAGGTTACTCAGCTCAGGTGGGGGAGCTCACCAGTCCGGCAGCAACTCTTTGATCTTTTCCATCAGTCCTAGAGAAGGATCCAGCTGGAGGAACCAGGCGAGCTGGATTGCACTGAAGAGGAAGAGCCAGCTGAGGGGGCTGGCGGGGAACACACCAGTGAGAAAGTCATTCTGTGGGGAGGAAAGGGCACCCATTCAATCAATTATCCCTCCTCTGAGCACAACTCTTAGATATTGACAGAGTACCCAGTGTGTGCTGAACCCCAAGCTGGGTGTTCAAGACCCAGTGGGGACCAGACAGATCTGGGTCCTGCCCTCAGGGAGGTGAGTCAGGAATGAAGCGAGTGCTAACGGACATAAAGCAAGGCACAGGAGTCCTGCAGAGGCGGGATGCTCAAATTGAAGGAGTCAGGGAGGGTTCTCTGGAGGAGCTTACTCTCAGGCAAAATGATCCCCCATATACAGCAGGGTCTGGAGCTCGGTAGGCCTTCTAGAACTACATGGCCATGGAATGAATGAAAGTCCTGGGCTACTAACCAGACTCCCAGGGAAGTGCCATGGAGATAACTAACACTTAACCAAGTCTCACGACCAAGCACCTTCTACAAGGATGAGCTCTTAAAATCCCCCCAACAGCCCTGTGAGGTGGGTACTTAGGTGATCTCATTTTACAAAAGAACACTTAGGTTCAAGGTCACACAGCACGATGAGAGCTACTGTTAGTGGGGGTATCGGCAGCAGGGCTCAAGAAACCACGTTCTCTCTTTTTCCCCACATTTAACCAACAGGAAAGCCTCAGAGATCATGGTTTAGAACTTGGGCTCTGGAGCCCTGGGCTTAAAATCCCTGCTTTGTCACTAACAAGCTAAGTGACCGCAAACAAGTGGCTTCCCCTGTCTCAGTTTCCTCATCTGTAGAATGGGAACAATCCCAGTACAGGGCTCATAGGGCTGTCACGAGGGTGGGATGAGAAAATGTCCTTCCACAAATGCTGATTGCAGTCCTACAGCAGTGACAAGAGGACAGCAAGAGTCCTCTCCTGGGGGACAGAGACAATAGCTACCCAAAAGGATTTAGGGTAGTGTGACAGTTGGCAATAGGGACTATGGAGAAAAATAAAGCCAAGGGGGCTGGGAAGAGGGCGAATTGCATAGCTCAGAGCCAGGCACACAGTAGGCGCTCAATAAACATGATTACAATGACCCTTTCTATTGCTACTCTGCTTCTTGTTGGGGATTTATTCACTTCACGATCTTTGGTTTGGCCAGAAAAGCTTACAGGCAAACGTGGTGCTTCCGTTGTTTATGATTTCTTTTTAAGAGAAGCTGTTGGCTCCTTTATCTGGTGCTCTGGATTGTCGTAGAACAGGGGCTTTGTAGTAACAGGAAACTCTCCAGAGCACTTCCCAAGGACCAGGCGCATCAATAAATCATCTCATTGCCCTGTTGCTCAGTAAGGTAGCAGTAAATACCATTATGCCCATCGCATGGGTGAAGAAAACAGAGAAGAGAAGAGGTTGGAAGAACTTGTCCAAAGCCACAGAGGGTCCAATGTCAACGCCTCAAATCATCCAGATGCCTCAGGACCCTAATGCAACAGGATGCACTGCAAGGTGCCACATCTTGTATGCATTTGGAGACCAACTCAGGAATCCCTCTGACCTGCTGATGAATGACCCCCATGGATGCTGTGCCACTTGCTTGGCCCAGATGACCCACTGCACGTAACCCACGACAGCCCCGTGGCATAAGTCCCGCCCGGGAGGGCAGGCATGAGCGTGGGCTCCACAGCCAGACTAATTCTAACTCTGCCTCTTAGCAGCTACGTGACCTTGGGAAAGTGAAAAAGCCCTTCTCTGGGCCTCTGTTCCTTCATCTGTAAAGTGGGACTAATAATAGGTCTACCTTAGAAGGCTATAAGGAGGATCAGGTGAGCAATAGGTTTATTTTTATTTTTAAAAGATTTTAGTTTTGCATAATCTCTACACCCAACGTGGGGGTCCGACTCAGGACCCCGAGATCAAGAGTCGTTCACACGCAATACATTTAAAGTGAGTGAGTGTAGAGTGAGTGTAGAGCCCAGGATACACTAAATATTACCTAACATGATTTTAGAAATGAGGGAGCAAAAGCCCAGAGAAGTTAAGAACATGCCGGAGGGCACACAGCACCTGTGGAACCACCAGGATCATAAAACAGCGATGTTGGACGGGTCCCTTCTGTGAGTCAGGCCCTCTGCTAAAACCACTAATGGTTGCAACAATCTCTTGAGGGAGGGACTGTCAGGGATACCGTTTTATAAATGAAGAAATTATGGAATTTCAGCCCTGTGGTTGCTGAGGGCACAGCCCTCACCCTGGGACCATGTTCCAGGAGCTACGAGACTTCACGGTGGCCCGTGGGGTCCACAACGGAAGAGGAAGACATAAGAGCATCAGGTGTCCAACAGGGAGAGAGGTGGCTATGTGATAGAAAGGCAAGAATGATCATTATTACAATTACCAATTTACACTAATGAGAGGGTCTGGAGGGGGGGACTCAAAACTAGGGGTCAAAATAGTCAACAATGCAGCACTAGTCAAAATCCACCTACAAGCATAGAAATCAGAACAGTGGCTGCCTTGAGTGGGGGGGGCGTGCACCGGAAAAGGACTCAAAGGAACATTCTAGAACGGTCCAGGCCAGGCTGTCTTGATAGGAAGTTGGTTACACGGGCATTGTCAAAATTCAAGGACGGTATATTTTAAAACTGTGCATTTTTTCTTGAAACTATATCTTAATTTTTAATACACACACTTATGTGTGTGTATGTATATGTGTATTTATGTATTTAACCACAGGCTAATGGCCACATGGTAATGTTTTAATTGATGGATTAGCCTGAGGCCCAGGGGGTTCCCCTGCTCTTTGGAGGCGGGGGGCACCTGGCTGGCTCAGTCAGTAGAGTGTGTGACTCTTGATCTCAGAGTTGTGGGTTCGAGTCCCATGTCCAGTGTAGAGATTACTTGAAAATAAAATCTTAAAAAAAAAGAAACCAGACAGAAACTCTTTGGGGGTCTGGGGTAGTGGCTATTTATCCACGGGAACAGATATCTCTCTATTTTAATAACTCATAAGGTTATAGAGGTTCAATCCAGCCTGTTCAAACGTCTCAGCTTCAGGAGATCCTCTGGGGCCCGGGCCACCCCCTTATTTAGTGACAACACCCCCAGCCTCCCTCTTTCCACCCGGCGGGTCTTACTGTTCGCCCATAGCACATGTCACGTGATCTGACATACTCCACGTCTGCTTATGTGTCCCCTTATTGCCTTCTCCTCCTACTGAATCAAGAGTTCCACAAGGGCAGGATTCTGTCTTGCTCCCTGCCATGTCCCCAGTGTCCCAAACAGTGGCAGGCCCTTAATAAATGCTCCATAGATACCTGGTTAATGAATCAAGAACAATATTATCAAAAGCTAACACTCTGCACTTGACATGGGCCAGGCGGTTCGCTCAGTGCTTACATGTAAGAAGAATTCACTTAATCCTCGCGACTGTCCTGTGAGGGAGGTGTTATCATCACCCCCGTTTGACATGTGGGGAAACTGAGGCTCAGAGAGGCGCACTTGCCCAAGGCCATGCAGCTGGTAAGTGGCAGAGCCAGGATTCAAAGTCAGGCTTGGCCAACCCCACAAGTGTTCAAGATTTGTGCTCACAGACAGGGAGACTCTGGATGTACGCAGGGCCATAGTTCTAGAACTGGTGATCCTGGGGGCAGGCGTGGGCTCTGGTTAGATGTTGGGCCTGGGCATTCTAGAGCAAGGGCAACGAGCCCAGACTGGGACAGCAGGGTCTATAGTGATGGAGAAGTGTGGATATAGACATTTGGAGGTTCACATCTCGGAACCATAGGGAAGGTGCACTGCATACCGGAGAGGGGGATTGGGGATTCAGAAGTGAGGGCAAGGAGGCGACCCCCAGACCCAGGGGCATGGGCTGGGGGAAGAAGGGCCCTTCAGGATTGGGGTGCGGGCTGACCAAGATCTTGATCGGGTCACAGTGTTCTGAAATGAGCACCCAGTTTAGAACCTAGAGACGAAAGGGGGAGGGGAGCACCATGGGGTATGGGGTCTGAATTCTAGAAACTGGGTGGAAGCTGGGTTTGGGGGGTGTGAGGAAAAAGGGAAGTGGTCCAGGAAGTGGTGTTAAGAGGTGAATAGAGGTTCCCAGTAGGTGAGGTTGAGGGTTCCCAAGTGAGCCTCTGAGAACCCAGAAATGGCTATTTAAGGGGTTCTGAAAGTCGACAGCAAAATTCCCAGGAGGGGGTGATAGGATCCCATGAAGGAATCACCCACACGCCGGAGTGGGCCTCGGGCACCCCTGAAGCACCTAACTGGATTCCTGGAAGGAAACCAAGTCGTGGCTCTCCTCACCCAGAAACGGGAGAGGTGCCTTTTCCAGGAGCGCAGTCCGGAGAGGTAGATCTCCTGCAACACGGGGGCACTGAGCTCCACTTCGGCCCCGTCCGAGGTCATCGAGGGTCGGAAGCCCACGGCCTGGTGCGCTTCAGCCATGTCACCCTAGAGCCCTGGGAGGTGGACAGAGGGTCATTCTCCAGGTCCCCAGCCTCAGACCCGGGAGTCGGGCCCCCAACCCCCTCCTCCTACAGACCCAGGAATATAGGACGGCAGCTCACCCTTCCCTAATCACCTGAGGGGTCTTGAAGGACTTGGCCAGACACCTCCGGTGCTGGAGGGACGTCAGTTGGGGACCTCTGTGAACGCATAGAGAGGCAGGAGGGACAACTCGCGTTAATTCCTTTTGCGGTTCTGCTGAGAACGAGGTGCAAGGCAGTGCGCCCCTCCCCATGAAGGACTTTGAACATTCAGGGTTGGGGGCGGGAAACAGGTCCAGGGTTGAGTTGCGGGGTCTAGGGAAAAACATTAGTCCGAGACCCATTTGAAATGAACACCTGCCGGACGTTGGCACCGTCCGCCCCATTTCCAGGGCGACAGGGGGATGGGGTGGGGGGATGGGGTGGGTGAGGAGTGGCGGGGGAGGAGCAGGGGGGTAACGTCTATAAATTCGTCCGCTCTAGGGTGGCCCAGCGTCCCCTCCCCCGCACCGGGGGCTGGAGGGGATGGGGGAGGGAGCACCCTACTGCGCATGCCTCACAGCCAGGGATGCTGAGGCTGTGAGCCGATGCGAGCTTCGAGGACAAGTGATGGAGAGACCCGCACGCCCAACCCAAGACACAGGCCTCCCGGCCTCGCGGGAGCTCGAGCCCCTCCAATACTTACCACGCCGAGTCAGAGGTCCGCCGATCCAATCCTGGAGACCAAGCCCGAGCACACCCCCCACCCTCGATTTAGAGCGCCAGACCCAAGGCTCCCACTTGCATATGTCCAATCCCAGGGCGACGAGTCCGCGACTTGGTCGTCGGGCCTCCGGAGCTCCTGGTCGCCCCCGATTATCCAACATCCAGGCACCCGGATTTCTGCCTCGCGCGTGCCTTGCCGGGTATTCGAGTCTCTGGTTTTATCCCCGCCCCCTTCCAGCCCTCTGCGTTCTATCCCCGCCCCCTCGAATCCCGGCGTCCAATCCTCTCCCTCCGTTCGATCCCGAGCCCTCAGTCTTTTTCTGCTCCGCCCGATTTCTCCACCATTGGCTTCCTGGGTTCTAAGCTGCTCCTCTCCTCCGAACCCCAGGTTCTTGGGCTTCCCGCTCCGCTTTGTCTCACTCTCCTTCCTCTCTGCAAAACGAGGCTCGGCTTGGAACCCACAGCCCACCTTTGGGTACACATGAAGTCACGCGCGTGGGTATCGAGCCAGAGCGAATCAAAGTTCTACCATCCCGAGGAGGGAGGGCTGCTTGGGGGTTGGGTCAGCCCACCAAAACCGCCCACGGAAAATGCAAGCTGCACGGACTGAGTGGTGCGAAGGAGAAGCTACAGCGGATTGGATTCAAGTTAGACAGTCAGGGGGACTTCCGTGTGGGAAAAGGTGCATGGATAAAGGGGAATATGTTAGAGACTGGGCTCAGATTGGGAGGCCGGAATGGGCACAGACAAGCAGAGTCTGAAACAGGAAACTCGTTTTATTAGGCTCTGGACGTTAGTATTCTTTGTACATGCTGGGTCCCGGTGTGCCCCTGGGTCCAGCCCAGATCACAGCGGGGGGAGACAGTTTTTGAGTGAGCCCAGGAGATGGAGTTAGGGGAAAAGAAACTTGGGGTCGTGGCCCCAATACACAGATGGGTAAGCTGAGGCCAGGGGAGGGCCAGGGACGTGCCCGACGTCACCCAGGAAGCTGGGCACTGCGCTGGCCTCTTTTCTTCAGGCCAGGGTCCTGGAGACGGAGCAGGACCCTGGCCTCGCGCCGGCGGCGGCGCCCGTAGCTGTGAGGGTCCTGGGGCTCGCGGCCGGCCTTCCCTGAGTGCTCCTTGATGGAGGCAGAGCGGAGCCAGTATATCATCTCTGGGAGGCGGTGGGTCTGGCATGTGCCCAGGGAACAGAGGCGCCTGCGGTGCCGGGGCTGCCTGGGGAGGGAGCAGGGGAGAAGGCCGGGTTCAAACAGAATCCTCTCGAGAAAGGGGTCTCGGTGGAGTCGGGACACCCAGAACTCTGCGACCGCAGAGGCGCGCTTACAGATCATCATTCCACCGACGCGGGAAGCAGTGGCCTGAAGGGGGCGCACGCTCCTCGCGGTCTTCTTCCTGCCCTGTCCCCGCCGCCACCCGCCTTTCTCACCTGCCCACGGAGTCCGGGTCCCCCAGGACGGAGGAAGCGAGAAGCAACAGGAGGATATGGCAAGTCATCGTGGGGTGGGGCCGGGAGTGGTCCTCGAAACCCATGTGCCTCGAAGTGGCCCCTCCGGGGTGCGGCTCCGGCCCCTTCCCGAGTCCGACAGTCCCCTGGAGGCCCGCTTGGGCGCCAGTCCCCACTGCCCAGGCGGGGAAAACTGCGGCCAAGAGTCGAGGAGGCCACACCACGCCAGAAGGGGAGGCTTAGAACCCGGATCCCCACGTCCTGCTCCTTGGCTTCTGAGGCCTCGCGGGTGCGGTCACACGGCGGAGCTATGACCCTGGGAGGCCTCGGGAGAGGGACCCCTTTAAGGCGGAGGGAAGAGGGGCGGGGCAGCTGACACCTGCTAGTGGTGACACAGCTTAGGGCTTCCAGGAAAGGGGTGGGGGCAGGGAGGCGCTGGGCTCCTGTGACCTCAACCTCAACCCCTTGGGGACCATGTCTCCCGGGCCAGGCTCCTTCGTGGGTCGGGCAATGCGGGGAGCGAGCGGAGCTGCGTCGGGTTGTAGACAGAGGGAGTCTGGGCCCTAGCCCCGAGGTCGGATACCATCCTGGAGGAGGACTAGGTGCAGACGGGTGTGAAGTGCCACCAGGCCTGGGGTTCCCTCTGTACTGAAGCAGGTGGAACCAGGGCCGCGGAAAGGAAAGTCACGGTGGCTTAGGTGATGCAGGTCCTGTGGAGAGCACCCTGGGGGACCAGGGACTCTGTGCACAAGGCCATGAGGAAGGGTCAGATGTAGATGCCACGCCTGCAGCAGAGGGTGAACACACAGCCCCTGGGGAGCTGTCAGTGGGGCCTCCGAGTCCATCTCTGTAAAGACGGGAGGCGGGGAGGCCCTGCTGCCCTAAGGTGGGACATCCCCCCCCCTTGTCCCCCACCTCCAAGTCCCAAGCTAGGCTGGGGGAGCAAACAGACACACAAGGAATTCTGTCCCCTTAATATACCCCCCATGACTCAGTTTCCCCACCTGCAGAGGGCAGGGCAGTAGTCACTGCCAGTCAGCCCTGGCCTGGCCTTGGAGGGTCCTGGACAGGAAAAAACAGCCAGACAGTGGAACAATGTGTGCGCTGGGGGGAGGGGGGGGAAGATGACTTTCTGGGAAACTTAAGGACCCAGCTATGCTGGGAACCCACACCCCAACCCTCCCCCAGCCCAGCAGGGCAACCGGGGGCAGGAGCCCTGCCCAGTGGGGACAAGAGGGAACAGGGCCTCAGGGGGCATGAGTGAGGGAGATTGGGGGGGGAGGGACAGGGGAACAGAGACTAGAGGCCAGAGCCAGGGAGCAAGACCTAGAGACACAGAGGTGGGGACAGAGACCTACAGCTACCAGCAGGTGCCATTCCAGCACCCCCCGCTGCTCAGGCTGTCACTCCAGCCCCTGCAGACCAAACCCCAACCCCACTTTGCCCCCCAGGAAGCCAAGCCGTCCCAGCTGAGGATTTATTGGCGTAAATGCAACCATATAAAAACATAAGTTATGAAAAACACAGTCACGATGTGCCCCGCCCCAGCCCAGACCCCTAGAACCCCCTTCTGAGGGAGGGAAGGAGAGGAAGGGGGAGCCCCCAAACTGCCTAAGAACGCCGCAGCCCCTGGGCCCGTGGAGGGCCGGCCCGGCCGGGGTGGGAGAAGCCGGGCCGCCTCAGCGCATCCGGTAGTCGGTGGAGCAGGACAGCTCGCACAGCTGGCCCTTGAAGTCCAGGTCAATGGTGAAGTCCAGGTCGCGCTGTGGGGAGAGGGCAGATGAGGGGGGCCGCACATGGGACAGGCAGAGATCTGGAACCGTCTGAGTCAGGAAGCGGCCGCAGGGGGTGCGCCCCCAGCCATCTCCCACACTCCCCGGAGACCCCACGTCCAGGCTGGGGGACCGCACGTTGCTGGTCCCACCCTCAGCCCTGACTCCCAGCCGCGGGTGACACCCTCAAAGGCACCTGGAGCCCAGCCAAGCCCGCCCCTCCAGGGCAGAGCTCAGCAGCTCTGGCTCTCGCTTAAGGGTTGTTCCCACATCAGGACCGTTCCCATCAGTAAAGCAGATACGGCTTCCCTCTTCCAGGAAGCAAACCTCTCCCCCAGCACACTTCCTCCCACACGGCAACACTCATGGTCCCGACCCCACTGTCCCCACGTCCTCGGCTCCCAGGCTTCGTGGAGGCCAGGCCTCGCTCCGCGCCCCCCACCCCCCAGCGCTCCCCGGAAAGGCTTGGGCCAAAATCGCCAATAACCTTGAAGACTTCTGCCCTCAGGCCCACCCGCCCCGACTCCAGGCTCCAGACCCTTTGTCCTCCCATCCAGCCGGGGTCTCCCCCAGGGTCGCAGACTCAACCGGGCAGAGGGCTGGCGGGGCCCCAGAACAGGCAGCAATGCCCCCCTGAGCCCACCCCCCCCGCCCCCGCCGCGCCTCACATTATTCTTGGCATTGGGCCGCATGCCGATGGTGCCAAAAATCTCCTCGCCTGTCTTCACGGTCAGGTAGTCCTCCATGTAGAACACGGTCTGCTTCCAGTGTGTGTAGGGGGACTCGGGGCCTGGGGGTGCAGTCGGGTCAGCCGGGATGCGGCCAGCCGCCAGGCCTCCTGTCCAGCCCCCGCCCTGGGCCTCGGCCGGGCCCTTCCCTTTGTCTGGCCCCTCCATGACCTTTGCTGCGCCTCCGCCATCCCTGAATCCCTCCACCCTCATCAAGCCTTGGAGAGGAACTGTTGGTTACTGTTTCACGGGTGGGGAAACGGAGGCATGGCCGGCCCCCTGGCTCCCCCTGCTGGTTCCTGCCCGCCCCCCCCATGCTCACTGGTGGAGAAGCCCGTCCTCTTGTGGCAGCGGGTGAACTCGATGTTGAAGTAGGCCACGAGGGCGTGCACGTAGTCATTCCGCTTCACTTGCAGACAGAAGGGGGAGGTGAAGGTCAGGTCTTCCACCTTGACAGTGTAGATGTCCACCTCCTGCGGGACAGGCCCCGTGAGCCCCACTCCCCAACACGCAGCCCAGCGGGGGGCGGGAAAGCCTGGGGGCGCCACGCTGCAGTCCTGCTGCCTTCTCTCCCATGGCCAAAGCCCACCCCGGACGGTTCTACTTCCTAGAGCTACTACTTCTGCTTCAGAGAATTGCCCCTTGCCCCTTCTCCACGGCCTTCACCCTGCCCGGGGGGCCTCTTCGCGGAGCTCCCTACCTCTGCCCCCCACCCCCCCTCCCCCGCCACAGCTCCTTACCCGACCTATCAGCCATGTGACGATTTTAAAACACTGTCCATCAGCTCATGTCAAACTCCTGCTCAAAACCCCGACAGCTCCCTGGCGCCCGCCCTCCCAGCTCCTGTCCTCACTCGCTCCAGACTCCCTCCTCCTCCTCCTCCACCAGGTTTGGGCCGCCTCTCGCAGCCCAGCGCAATTCTAGGGCTCACCCCAGCGTCCGGTCCGTGTGCGGACACCGAGGGGCTCAAGAACCGATCGCTGCCATGGTGTTCTTCCTCAGTGGCCCAAGTGCATATCAACTTGCTCAGGGCCTTGAGCTTCCTGCATCTGGAGTGCTGGCCAGCTCAGGGGTGCCCCCCCTGGAATGCATCCCCCCAGAGCAGTGCCCGCCAGTCTGGTCTTGCTCCCGGTGGCACCTGGAACCGCCCACGGGGCTGGGCTCATGAAGCTTTTTAATGGATTTAAGTGGCTTCTCCGGCCAACAGGTCAGACTCCCAGGCCTCGGGCACACTGGGCCACCTGATGTCGTGGCCCTTCCTTGGTTCCAACCCTGGGGACACCTGGCCACACCCCCCTCACCTTTATGAGACAGGCGTTGGTGACCAGCTGCTTGGGGTCCACCACATCCACCAGGGGCTCCTTGATGGCCACGTCTTTGATGCAAGACATGTCAAAGCCGTATACGTTCTCCCACCCTGGGGAGGCAGGCAGGGAGGAGGGGTGAGCCCATCAGGGGCACCCAGGCCAAGCCTGCCCCGCCCCCCGAGCTCCTGGTGGGGGGCCCCCGAGCTCACAGTGAATCTTGTAGTCTTTGTACTGACGGTCTTCAATGGCTGTCACATACAGCGTGGCTCGGTCTGGGAAGATGAGGCCATCGGGGGCCTGCCGAGGGGTAAGGGGAGGGTGTGAAGGATTGGGGGGGGCTTGGAACACTGCCCCCAAACCTTGACAACTTGGGTCTCTATCCACACACGCTATCCCCACCCTGGTCTGAGCCACCTGGACTCCTACAATGGCCTCCTCACGGGTTCTTCGCTTCTGCTCTCATGCCCGCATCTACTCCCCACACGGCTGCAAGGTGGCATCCAGGAGCACCTAAGTCTCAGGCCTGTCCTTCACAGGTTCTGAAGAATCTGCAGAACTCTCCCTGGCTCCTCAGAGAGGAAAATTAAAGTCTCACGGGGATGCTCAGGCCCCTCCACCCCCTTCCCTTCTACTGTTCTTCCAGACCCTCAGTCCACTCCCTGCTGTTCCTCAACACCCAGTAAGAATACTCCTGCCCCAGGACCTTTGCACCAGTTCCTCTGCCCAGATGATCTTTGCCCCAGATCTCCTGCAGCTCCTACCCCTTGTTCAGGTCTTAGTCACCGCCCCCTGGGGAGCCTGCTCCCTGAGCATCTGGAACCGTGGTCCTCTGGCCTCTCCCCATCCTTTCGCCCTGCTATGGTCTTCTTCCCAGCACCCCAGCACCAGACACCTCCTGACACTGTCTCCTTGTCACTGTCTAGCTCCTGGTGCCTGTTACCTCCCATTTTGGCTTTGGGCCCTCCCACATCTGAGCAGTCAGTCCCCTGCATGAAGTCCCCTGCGGGGGAAGTATCTAGTATGGCTTTTGGTTTTCTGCCCAGGCCCTGATTGATAGGTGCTCAACATGTGGCCGAAGGAGCCCAGGCTGTGTGAGCCTGTGTGAGCTGCTCCCACCCTGCAGGGGGCCTCACCAGCCACTTGTCTCGGGCGTAGAGCACGGTGTTGAGCATTGACTCGTAGAAAAGGCAGTAGCCCATCCACTCGCTGATAATGATGTCCACCTTCTCCACCGGAAGCTCTACCTCCTCCACCTTCCCCTTGATGATGGTCACCACTGCGGGGGCAGAGAGAGGCACATGCAACTGGCCCCGAGGAGACCCGTCTGCTTGCCTCCCCTGGGGGACCAGAACCTGGGGACCCCACTGGAGCCGCCCCTGTCTCCTCCAGGAAAGGCTGGGAGCTGCATTCGGGCATCTTCAAAGAACTCTGCCAGCTGAAGCCATTCTCTGAACTCAGGGTTTTTTGGTTTTGCTTTTTTATAATTTTTTTTTTAAAGTAATCTCTATGCCCAGTGTGGGGCTCAAATTCACGACCCCGAGATCAAGAGTCACACACTCTATGGACCCAGCCAGGCAGGTGCCCCTCTGTTAACTCAGTTTTGTCTTTTTTTAAAGATTTTATTTATTTATTTGACAGAGAGACAGTAAGAGAGGGAACACAAGCAGGGGGAGTGGGAGAGGGAGAAGCAGGCTCCACGCAGAGCAGGAAGCCCCATGCTGGGCTCGATCCCAGGACCCTGGGACCATGACCCGAGCCGAAGGCAGACGCTTAACGACTGAGCCACCCAGGCGCCCCTGTTAACTCAGTTTTAAAATTCATTCATCACCCTGGATATTTTTAAGGCAGAAGCAGAAATGTATGGGTTAGGTACTGGATGATAAGACTTTGTCGTTAACAGGATGGTCATGTTTTTTGAAAGCCTTCATTAGAGAGAGACACACACACACAGTAGGATTTATAGGAGAAATGACATCACGGTTGAAATTTGCTTCAAATGGAGATATTTAAAGCTCAGTGGTAGGTATCTGGGGGCTCATTATACTAATCTCTCTTTATATATATATATATAATCTTTTTAAAAAAAATCACTACGGGGCGCCCGAGTGGCTCAGTCGTTAGGCGTCTGCCTTCGGCTCAGGTCATGATCTCAGGGTCCTGGGATCAAGCCCCACATAGGGCTCCTTGCTCAAAGGGGAGTCTGCTTCTCCCTCTGCCTCTGCCCTTCATTCTGCTCATGTTCTAATAAATAAATAAAATCTTGGGCTCCTGGGTGGCTCAGTTGTTAGGCATCTGCCTTCGGCTCGGGTCATGATCCCAGGGTCCTGGGATCGAGCCCCGCATCGGGCTCCCTGCTCAGCGGGAAGCCTGCTTCTCCCTCTCCCAGTCCCCCTGCTTGTGTTCCCTCTGTCACTGTCTCTCTGTCAAATAAATAAATAAAATCTTTAAATAAAAAAAAATCACTTCGGGGGCGCCTGGGAGGCTCAGTCAGTTGAGCATCCAACTCTTGGTTTCGACTCA